ATCATTACTTTTTTATATCTCTCACGCTTATGTTTCTTCCTTCTTCAATTTTTCTCTTTGTGATATATATTTTAAACTTCTAAGCATTTAATTTAGCGACTTTGATATTGCACCTTTGCAAAATTTTGTGATTGATAATGGTCTGGTATCAGCAGAGTTCAATTCAGAGACGGGTGATTTAAAAGTATGTTTAGATTCTTATAACAACCCATCTTTTGTAATGGATTGAAAGATGTGAAATGCATCGTTATAAGACCTACATGGTCTTGAAATTGAGGGATTTCTTTACGTTGCTTATTTTATTTCTAATTATGTTGCACATTATACTTAACAATGACAATGAATTGGTTTTTTCAGTCTGTGACATTGGATGGAAAAAAAAGCATGTCAATAAATATGTCTTTTGTTCTGTACCATGCAAGAATGAAAAGTCGAGGTAACAAGACTCATTTAGTCTTTTTATAATTTTATCTCGGAATGTTTTTATTTGCGATTGATTTTTCATTAACTTTATTTTCTGGTTCCAAGTTAGTACTTAAAAAAGTACTGGACAAAAGACATGTTTTTTGACATGTAAACAAGTTAATACTTAAAAAAGTGCTTTTAGTACCATTAAAAGGTAGTGATAACCCTCCTGGTGCTTATATTTTTCTTCCTGATGGTCCTGCTTCAACCTTTGATAACCATGCTTCGTTTATAGTTGTTGAAGGTTCAGTAATGCAAAAGGTTAGTTTCATACATATCAATATAAATTTGAAAAATGTCTTTGCGCTTGAGATAATAAACTATCGAGTTGGAAAATGTTATGTTAAAAACTTCATACTGTTTTATGCTATATTTAAAATCATAATTTTATTGCTTATGGGAGTTATCTTTATGCATTTGAGATCTGTCACGTTGGTAAATGTATGTTGAAGACTTCAAACTATTTTTATGCATAGTGAAACAAAAGGAGATAATTTTGTTTACTTGTAGGTATTGGTAGCAAAATATGCGAACTTTAGTTTTGTTAATGTGATGAAACTGGAAAAGATGTCACCATCGATAGAAATTCAAAGCACAATTCATTTGCAAAATGTTAAAAATATTGAATTGGCGATGCGATTAGAGACTGGAATCGATAACGGCGAGGAATTCTTCACTGATCTCAATGGATATCAGGTACTTTGAATTTGGTTTGCGACTTGAAAAGAGTCAAAAATTTTGAGGGATCGATAATCTTTATATTACCATGAACTTGAAAACAAGTCTTCACTATTTTAGCTACTAAGAAATTGAAAAATTTATGAATACGGAACATCTTTAACCATACCGATGATTTAAATATTTTCCACTCATAACTAATAGTTGTTACATAGCAAAATAGGAATTGTATTTTATTCCATTATATCAGGTAGAGATATGATAAAAACTCGGCTCATTTTTTTAATAATCGCTTATCAGTAATACTTTTGAAGTTATTTTCAGCGAAGAAAATTTTTGCAATCTTTATTTTTTTTGTATTCTTGTTCCAGAATTTCTATGATTACAAGTTTGGCTTAAGAGCGTAAAGTTTTTATTTGTTTTGTAATCGATGTAAAAGATTTTACATAAAAATGCTTGCGCTTATCTTTTTATGTACTAGTCAAGAACAAATGTAACGATGTCAATTTCAGACTTAAAAAGGATTTTGTTACTAATTCTTCACAAAAATTTAAGTTGGTGAAACGCTATCGATTCAAGCAGTTGCCATTGCAAGCTCATTTCTATCCAATGCCGACGTCTGCTATTATTGAAGATGAGAGTTTTCGAATGACATTGATTAGTGCTCAGCCGTTAGGAGTTGCGAATCTTGCTAGTGGTATTTTCATACAACTTCATTATTTTTGCTAATAGCTTTAGGAATTATTGACACTTCACGATAATTTGGAAAATAGTTTGTATTTGTTATGCTGATATAAGTTATCAGATTTGCAGTAAAAGTCATTTACAGGACAGTTGGATGTTATGTTGGATCGACGTTTGAATCAAGACGATGGAAGAGGTCTTTTTAGTGTATGCTTTTAAAAAAACATTTATTTAGATTTGATGGAACGTTCGTGGAATCAGGTCGTTCACAGTAATCAGTCATTATGTTATGTATTATGGCTCATTGACAGTCGGCATTTTTTTAGTTATAAATATTTGAGATCTTTTTTTGCAGGGTGTAACTGATAACAAGAAGACGAGTAATATTTTCCGACTTACTGTAGAAGGTATCAATCAAAATGTGCTATCAAATACGGGCAAAAGCAAACGTGTCACCGCTTACCATTCAGCACAAACCTACAGTCAGATGTTATCGTTATTATATCCAATTGTGATAATATTGACGAACTACACTGAAGGTATGATAATACTATGTACTATCTAGTTTAAATTCATCCCTTTATTAAATCGATGAAACTGAAAAACTTGGAACATAAGTGTACATAGCTGTTTTTGATTTTTTCTTTTTTTCTGGCATCTAAAATTTTTCAGGAATTCGAAATAAATTTGTATGTCATTCTAGAATTATTCTTTTTCGTAATTATTGGAAATATGTGGCAGTACTGAATTCTTTTTAGTAGAGTAGACTTATTTTGCGAAGCAAGCAATAGATCACGGAAATTATTGATTATTCATTATAACAACCTTTGTATCAACCAAAATTGATCGATACTCTCTTATAGGTCATATCGACAGTTTAAATGTGATAAGTTACAAATTGCCTTGTGATATTCATCTTGTTACTCTACGTACCTTAGCCGCACCAACAGTTTATGGTAGAATTTCGGATCGTATTCATAGTCCTGAAAATTCATATGCTCTTGTTTTGCATCGATTTGGCATGGACTGTCGTTTCAATAAAGCATCGTTGGAAACATGTATTAGTAGCGTATGTTTTTTTTAAGTTCTCGATAATATTTATCATAAAACTTTTAGTATTGCCTACAATATAGTGAAAGAAATGCAAACAGCATTTTTGTATCTGAAACTTGAAATAATTTTGAATCAGATGCTAATTTTTTTCCAATGTAATATTTTCCAGTTGAATATCAAACGTTTATTTACAAAAACACCTTCGAACGTAACGGAAACATCGTTGACGATGTTATACGAAAATCTGGGTAACGTGAGTGACGTGAACTTGGAAACTATGGAAGTGAAAACATTTAGGCTGGATTATGTATTATAATTAAGGATAGTGAGTATATTTTTCTGATTTATTTTTGAAATCCTATTATATATCAAAAATTTTTAGCCATATTCTATTTATTTGTTGATATTAATATTAATGACATGCACTTGCTTTGATTGTGTGACTGCTTCGAAAATTTTTTGTTAAACCACTTGTAAAGTGATGGGGTTTCGATGAATGTGTCTCACTTGAATGTTCAAAAATGTATAACCCTTTTGATTCGATTATGAGTATTACTAACTGCTTAGTGTTCAAGTTGTTTTTCCAAAGTAGTTTTCGAACTTTAATAATTTGAATGTTTCTTCAGTTTCTTAGTCACTTTATTTCTCTTGAGATGAAAAGATTATTGACAAGTTGCTCGAAAAATTTGTCTACACTGGCAGTTTTTTCCAACTTTTGAAAGTAAAATATGTTTGTACTGTTTAATATAATTTAAAAAGCTTATAAGGCTCGTCAAATTACTGTTGGAATGTCGAAACTTGAACTACAATAGTTCTTGAATATTTAATATCCATTCTTAAAGGGTAATAGAAATAGCAAAATTTTTGTTCAGTATTAAGTTGCTCTTATCAGGTTTTTTAGATTTATTACTTTGTTATATAAAATGATATCACGAAGATTAGTTGTCGTTTCCATGTTATTATATTTATTGTCTATTCATTTTTGTGGTTAATTATGCTTTTGCATGTTTCATTTTAATGTGAGCTCTTTGAAATTCATTTTCTTTTCGCTATTTCTTAAGAAATGTGTGAGCAGTCACTTAAAGTAGCAATTTTAAATTAATTTATTGTGTGATTAGGTGGTCTCGATGAAGTGTTATATGGCATTCAGTTCTAAATTAATATGTTTTGAAAATTTGATAAGTTAGCACGTGTGTGATAAATATATTCACGCTTGTGAAGCCCTGGATTGATCTGTCTTTTGAAAATGTGTTCAAATCTTTTATTAAATTTTGCTTCCGCAGTACTGCTTCTATAATAATTGCATTGTTGTTCATATGTGGGAATAATAAATTGCTTAGGATAACTTTTCGATGATCAGTAAATCATTAACGACTGAGAAGGGTGTTTTAAAACTCGCCTTTTTTGGCAATATAATGCGTTATGTGGCTGTTCTCTCTAAGGAATTTTTTTGAAGTAACAAATTTTTTCGTAAAAGAAGCACAATTCATTTTTGATGAGAATTGGCCTGGGAACCATCGTTTATGGTGATGTAAAACTTTGTGGTTTAGAGTGCCTTCGGAATACACAGGTTTTTGCTAAATGATTTAGTAGTGCAATGAGTATGAAGTTTGGTGTTTGGAAGGAAGATTAGTTCGAAATATATACAAGAGAGGTACTTCTGTAGTTCTGTGGCATAATTTCATCGTAATGTAAATGTAAGAAATTGTTCTGTCTTCTAAGCTGGCATTATTTTACAAGTTCATTGGAAGAAGCTAGTTTATAACTTATGTAGTGATGTTTTTAATGAATTTACTGATTTGTATGTGTATCTTCTTCATCCTTGGGGGTTATCTTTATCCTTGGAGGTGATATATGTGTTTGGTTATTTTACTATATGCGAAAAATTAATTTTTTTGAACTGTCAAAACAAGTACACGTTAATATTGCAGAAATGAATTAGCTCATTCAACAAATTGCCAAAAATTGTTGGCAAGAATGAGTTAGGAATGAATTCTTGTAGTTTTTAAGTCGAAGTGTAACACTGTTGAATTATTTTTTCTACTTCAATATTTTTTGTGACATTCGTGTCACAAAAGTATTAACTTTACCGTTTCATTTTTAAATTTATGTGCTGATCTCTGTTTTATTTTTTTGCATGAATGATTGATTGATTGATTGATCAAGTATTCAAAAACGTTCTAATATGTATTGAATTGAAAAAGGAGCAAAACAAAATCAGAAGATAGAAATGGAGCTTAATTTTGCGAATGTCGCAATTGAAGTGTGAAAATTGAAACTCAATAACTTGAAGTGACTTCAAAATTGCATTTAAAAGAGTTGAGTAATAAAATTTTGAACGAATGTTTCAGTACATACATTTTCTCACTAAAAATTTTTCCTTGGTCGCAAAGATTAATATTGTTTAAATCTTAAAGTTTTTCAAGACAATAAAAATAAGTGCTGATTGTACTTACTAATTTATCAACTGGTCATTGTATTATTTTATCCAATTTGCTTTATGGAAAATTTGCATATTTCAATATTTGCAGACACAATGTTCAGAATTTTGGGCTGAATTCATTTTTCTAATTAATGGTTGTTTTTTAATGTGATGTATTCAATAGTTACTGAAAAATAGAAGTCAGAAATACAATGGTTACTTAAGGCGCCAAATTCAAAATTTCTTGAAATACATGTCAAAATTATAAGTCGATTTAGTACTTTCGATGTATTAGATCACTCGAATTATGCGTGAACATTGTCTCTAAAGATATACGTGTACATTAGCTGAACCTTTTTTCAAAATCAGAATTTTGTAGTGTAAAGTGAATAGAAATTCTTTGAGCGGTTGAATTAAACACAGTATACACAAGCACTCCTAGTAGAGTTCATGCATGATCTGCAAATTTTCAGCTCATAAACAGATCATACTTCTAATATTTACTTCACCTAATTATCAATTTCATGATTTTTTTTAATTAAAAAAATCAAATCCAAGTTTGAATGCTCGGTAACTGCATTTTACGCAGCAAGTTATAAGTCGTCTTTGAAAAAGATTTTCAAAGTATAGTTTGGATCAGTCTAAAAGCTAATTTATCCCATACATAATGATGTAATTCTTCTTAACGACCCAAATTGGGCTGGAAATATTTGTTCAATTAAAATAAATTGCATTAAATGTAATCGTATTAGAATCTGTATAGTAAACTAATAAAAATTTTATCTCATCAGTAGTACGTAATTAACTTTTAAAAAGCTATGATCCCAAAAATTTCATTTTGTGGCTGTGTGAAATTGAAAGGCTAGCATTAAATTTACAGTTTACAATAATTTAATAAGCTAGGCTAGGTTTTATAGCTTATCACAGTGTTACGTTTGTTTTAGTTCATGTATGTTTTAGTGCGCTTGCACGTTGTGTTTATCTAATTTTACGCTAAAATAAAAGTGAGAGTTTTTTACTTTATTTTTTTTAATCAGATTCTATGCGTACTCTTAATCATTTTTCTTTCTTATTTTATTATTTTAAAATGCATATTAAACAATATCAAATATAACACGCGAAAAATTTTCGCGCATTCTGCAATTTATGGCGTCACTTTTTATGATGTCAGTTTAATCATCGGATTAAAGATATACGAAAACAAATAAATAAATAATTGCAAATATGAAGTAATTAGATACTAAATATAATAAAAATAGCTCAAAAGTTAGGCAGTAATCTTGCAAAAGACATCATCACAACTAGTTGAAATCAAATTTGCTGTGATAATCGTGAAAATTGCGCGTTTTTTGCAGCTAATAATTACTCTTGCTGCGTTAAAAATTCTACCCCTTTATTGTATTAAAAATAAAAATTACTCAAGTAAACAAGTTTTTAATTTCAGTTCTAGTCTCACTAAGTGAGGAGATGATTTCTTGAACTTGTATTTACACGCTTTATTTCTCGTTTAATATTGCGAATTTTCGCACTTAATGACTGAAAGAATCTGTCAATTAATTCACTAAATTCTCTTGTCATTTCTTCAATTTTACTCTTTCTTGCGCTTATTTACATAGTGTCTTCTAAAGCCTTATCATAGATATGCAGTAATGCTGGTGGGGTCAAAGGTTAAGATAGTAATAAAGAATATTTTGCACTAAAGTAAAATAAATTTGCAGCAGAATTATGGGAGATCAGTATTGGAGGATAATTGAGCTTAAACTATTACATATTATAAAGTTCAAAGGTCATTTAAGGGTAAAGATAAATTATAATAAAAGTGGTAATTTGGATAAAGAGACGAAACTGCCTAATTTTTATTGAAGAATAATGTATTATTATTCGCAATTTTCTTTTCCTCAAACAGTTTTCTCACTCTTTAATAATGTGTAGTAATCACTGTGTGCTATTATTACTCAAAAACTGATTCTATGATTTGTATTACTAGTAAATAATAAAAAATTAATTGGAATTGAAATTACACTCCAAATACTTTGTTATGTGTAAGTTATTTTATTCATTTATTCCTTACACAAGACTGAATTTGATTACTTTTGCAATATATTTTATCAAAAAATATTAGCTCTAAAGTATTTATTAATTATATATTCCGGTATAAATTCTGTCTTTATTGATTTGTTCTTAATAATATTTAAAAATTATTAGTGAAATTACATATTTGTTTAATTAGCACTCTTTTTTTTCATTTCAATGCTAATTAATTTGTGAGTAATTGAAAATTTTAATTGTTAATACAAAATTATTGTGAAAAAAATTGTAAAAAAAAATAAAAAGCTTTAAATATTAATTAGTAAAAAAAATTTTTATTGTGATAGCTATTCGAAAAAGGGATTAAAAGTGAGTCTAAAGCTAATGTTGTTGTCTTAATTAGTAGTATTAACAAGAAAAGAATTTTTATATACAACAGTGATACAGAAAAGGAATGAAAGCTTACTGTAAAAGAAGTAATTGGGCTTAGTAAAATGAAGATTCAAAAATAATTAGATAGAATGATAGTAATAATGGAATTAAAAGAAGTGATAATAATATTTGCATAAAAATTAATATGATTAATTAATACAATGTAATGACGTAGTAAATGCTAAATGTGTATCATTTTATTTGGTTCAACTTTTGATACCAAAAGTATTGATTGATCAAAATGGTAAACTTTTTTGCAGCTTTATCAATGCATTCGTTTATTTTCAGTTTTTTTATCGTTTTTTTTTCTTTTGCTTCAGCACAAAATGTGAAGGAGAAATGGTAGAAGGAAAGTATTACGTTTGTTCAAATTTTCCTCCCAAAAACCATCAGGTTTTTAGCATTTTTATTTTTTTTTGAACAATTTTTGCATT